TTTTTTTAATTTTTTCTTCTTCTTCCCATATCATTTGCCATTTAATCCGATGCGTTCGCAGCAGTGTTTGCTGTCGGTCTGCCATTCTTTTTACTTTTTAATTACCTCAATTCTTCGTTTGCGAAAAAAATTTAAATTAAACTTTATACTTTTCTTGCACGTCACATAGCAGGCGTGTATGTATGCACAGTCGTACAACATACATACGTACGTACATACATAGATACGCGGAGCTTATTTGCGCATTCACGCACTACTCCGCGTCCATGGCCAATTCCTTTTGATGAGCTTTTTACAGAGTTTTACAGTACTTAATAGTTCAATAGTTTTACCAGAATTTAATGCGATTCAGTTACCGTATGGCAAGTAATGCGTGCCCTTTATAGGATTATACGCAATTCAATAATCCTAACATTTAGCTATTAGAATTTTTATTTGTTGGCCAGGGTTCATTTAACAAAAGAATATCAAATTTATGAGCGAAATGTAAACTTCTTTAATCACTAAAGATGATTTGGAGATAGAATTTTCCAAGCTATTGAAAATCTAAATCTGGTTTGGTTTTTAATTGGTATGAAATGACAGATGACACTGGAGATAGAACGCCACATTTTAGAAAGGCTGATGAAAATTCGTTCCAAGATACATACATATATCATCTTAAAACGCTCCCCGAGTGGCAACCCAGTATCAGTGATAGAAAGGTAGGTACAATTGTACTATATTCAGCCTTTTTAAACGTTTTTTTTTTTGGTTAACCTGCCCCGTTGGCTGTAATCAAATCTTGAAATCAACGTTTAACCAACTTCCCGATGAACTAGAGATTTGAAACTTCAATGCAATATGAAGGATGAAATAATCTGGTAGGTGGTGCAGCAGTTCAGATATTTGAAAACTCCCCATATATGGTCGGACTTGGTTCATATTTGGGATGTGTGGTGCCCCCTAGTACGTTCGGTAACCTTTAGCCCATTTGGAATGGTGATTTTACTCCCTGGTGAATACACTATTACAACTTCTAGTGAGAAGGCTTTTGAATGGTAACCTAGTAGGTGTAAATTTATTACTGCTAATGACATTCCCATATCAAATTCATGGGAGAATTGCATTGCTGGTAATCGGGCGGGTAGCTAGTGTTGGTTAGCGTAAGCGAGTGAAGTCACTAGTGTCCCAATAGTGCGTGGTACTAAAGGGGTTTACATGAAAAGAAATAACTTCACAAAAAATATATCCGGTAGAAGAATAACTCCAAAAGAAATCGCCTATAGGTTTTCGGGGTCGTCGAAATTAAAAAAAAAAATTCATTTTTGATCCGATTTAGTTTATATTTAGGATAATAATTAATTATATGAAAAGAAATACCGAAAAATATTTTGCCGCTAGGTGGCGCAGGGCACATAATTAATAGATCGGTATCTATCCATGGTCCGTTTTGGTTCATATTCGGAATATATATTGCCTACATATATTGAAATCAATAAAAACATTTGTTTGTTTGTTTGTTCTAGCCTATTAGGAAAAAATTTAACGAACAAGTTCAAATAAAAATAATGAATAAAAAAAATGTGTGTACGATCTCTGTATGGTTCTAAGCCTTACAGAGCTCCGACGTTATGCCAGAAGTGTGTGTGCCTTGTCAAGCTAGGTTGAGCATGATTTGATGGCCCATATCAACTGATTACTTAAATAAGTTTTGTTAAGTTACACTTGAGAAGTGCATTTGCAAAATTTTTTATATGAAAGTTGTGTACACACAACTGTACATATATATTCGCGCTGCGCTTTAATGAGGGTTTATGAAGCACATATATGTATGCATCTAGAGCCTACGAGGTGTTAGAAGTCGCCTAAACAAGTACATATATAGGTACAATTCAAACATTTTTCTTTCCCATACCTCTTCAGCACTAACTGGATCTCCAGTTTCTAGAATTTCTGAAGTGGAAAAAATTTCAAAATATGCAAATTTTAATGTTCTGAAAATTTCAGCGAAAATCTACGTACAGTGGACTTTTCTGGGAAGTACTGAAGTATTGAAAAATTGGTAAAATAGACAATTGGGTATTATTTGTGGAAGTCTTCTGGAGAGAAACAGAGTTTTCCGATCTTCAAGAATTCTACCGCATTTCTACGAAAGAGTTTTTCTCCATATAAATGACATGTAAAACTTCGAGGTAATTTTTTCTATTTAGAAAAAAAAAAACAGGTGGTGAGAGCTTAAAATTTTAAGCTCATTTTTCCTTTCGCATACATTTTTGGACCACCCTAATATTTAGTACAATGCATTATTGTCTAAATTTAATTAAAATTAGGTATTTTTTCATAAATATTAACTTATTTGTATGCTTTTACATTTTGTTGAATATGCTCGAAACAAAAAAAAAAACAACAACCAAAGTCACCATTTGCCCAACTTACTAACTTTCAGAGCAAACTTTTCTTTATTCACAAAAAAAAATTTAACAAAAAAATTTAGCTCGCAATACCCCACAGCAACTTGAATGAAAATAGAAAATGAAAACTTTAAACTTTTAAGTTCTGCCGGCTGTGCGTGCGTGCGTGCGTGCGCGCGTTCGCCATTTATCCATTGTCTCCTGGCAGCATTTAACGGCCCGGCCGCCGCATGCGACTGACTTTGCAAAGCCAAATTCGTTTTAGTGTCTGCTGCCGCACCGCGTCCGCCTCCCCCTACAACTAACTTCGCAAGCTGGCCACTTTTGCTTTCTTGGCTTTTGTCGTTTGCTATTCGCCACTCGCCGGCTGCGTCTGGCAAAGTTTCAATTGCTGTGCTTCTTTATTTCGTTTTAGTGTCGCCTGCGCTGCTGACTTTTCGGTCAACAACAACAACAGCAGCACCACTGAAAGGCAACGCTCGCAGGCAGGCAGCTATGTAGTTGCCGCACGCATTTTTAAGTGTGTTCGCCTGCCAAAATTACAACACAACAAATAAGCGAACAAAAAATAAACGGGAAGTCATTCAAGCAGCCAGCCGCGCGCAGCCAACAGAAGTGAGTGTGTGCGTGTATGCAAGTTCATCATACGCCACGGCGTACCACTCATTCTGCTGTACGTGCTCCCTCACTTTGCCACTTTACCCAAATGTGAGAGAAACTATTCGGCAACGCTGTCTCGTGGCTGCACAGCAGGCACTTTTAAAGCAACCGGAAGCTGTGTGAAGCGGCTGGCTCAAAATCTGTTTAGCTTTGTGTGTGTGTGAGCGTTGGGGAATGAGTTGACTCGCTTTTGGCCCAGATGGAATTATCTCACGTCTCAGTTTTCGCTTTTTATTGCAGCCAGTTCACAAGTTCGGAATTTTGTCAACAATTTAAGAAGTTCTTTAGAATCCATGTAAACACACACACATCTACACAAACGGTATTGAAGTGCAGACGACAGGCGATGTGCAAAGAACATTATAACGCTTGTACTTGTTGGCATTTATGAGCCATTGGCATGGATCGAACGTTCGTGGCCGTCGCAAATTTGGGTGAGCATGCGCGTGATTGTGTGTGAAGTTCAAAGTTCGATTTATATATTATGGGGTTTAAAAATTAATTTAACATTCTGTTATGTGTGCCAAAAATGGGGAAAAGGAGAAGTAGTGAAATTCCTAGCAAGAATATTGAATGGATTTGAAAGGAGCCGTTTTCTTTTGGTATTAGCAGGTATTAAGTATTTTACAAGTCATGATTTTGTACAGATTTCAGGTAGTCACGGCGCTTTGTGGAATTTGGCAAAGATTTGTTTAGTGAGAAAACTGATTTTTTTTTAGCAAGTTTTAGGAAGTGGGTGAAAATAATTTTGAGGCATTGGCAAGGATTTGGAAAATAAAGGCAGATATTAGCTAGATAATTTTTTTGCTAGATAAATGGTTATGGCTTCATTAAAATCTATCAAAATGTTATTTTTGATGCAGAAATGCATCTAGATGCTCTAGGAATATTTCTGCATCAAATGGAGAATTTTCAAAATATGTCGCTTACGTTATTTTGGCGGTTTGGGTTTGACATGCTGCAGAATTTTATGAAAAATTTCTAAGAATAAACAACGAGAGCCTTAGGCAGTGTGCAAATTAAATTGGGGGGGGGGAGTTCGCTTTACAAGAAAAAAAGTCTAAGCTAGCTTTGATGATACCAGTGAAAATGTTTAAAGCATTATCGGTATATTTATCTAATCAACAGTGTTATTGATAAACATAATGTTATCGTGGCTTTATTGCTATCATCGACTTTGACAGCAGCGGCAGAGATTTTGCAAATGTTATCGATATTTTTTCCGATGTTTTTTCTTATCGTTATCATAGTTGAGTTTTTCATCCATTCGTAATTATTTTTGCTATAGGAATTGTTATTATTAGTAGACCTTGTTATTACCAGCCAAAATGTTTGAATCATTATCGACATCGACGGTGTTATCGATAAAAAATATTGTTATCGTTATTGTTGTGTTATGTTTTTTTAATATCAACTGTCGTAATCGTTTTCACTAGTCGATTTTGCAAATGCTATCGATATTTTTTCGATTTTTTCAACGATACCAAAATTGGTATTTTTATCGATATCGTCGTTATTTTGCCTGTTGGAATCGTTGTTATTATTAGTATACATATTTTGCAATTTTTATCGATATTGTTTTCGCTTTCGATACTGCTATTGATATAACTATCTATTTCTTATCGCTATCGGGTTTTTTTATTGTTATAAATATAGGCTTAAGCTGTGATTTGTTAGTCGAATTCTAACTATTGGCGCCAAGTGGAAAGCTGTCGACCAGACTTGACTGTGCATGTTAGCCTTTTCCACTCCAGAAACTGTTCTAAACTTAAATTCAGAGCTTCCAGTTATTACCACAAGCTGCCATTCTTAACACTGCAGCATTTATTGCAGCTCGAATACACCCAGTTTGTAGTTCTATGTCGCAACACTCCCCTACTATAATTTGTGTCGAATAAGCAAATTTGCTAGAATTTATTTTCACAACTCAACACTCCCCGCACTTACCTATACGCACCGAATGTTGGATCGTAGGTGTAGTAGCCGGTCGTAGGAGGCAAGCCCGTCGAAGTCCACGTTGTGACTTCACTTCCGCTGCAGCTGCCATCTTTCAAAGCATAAGGCGTACTCTGAAAAGTATGAAATGCAGAAATGAACGACTTCAAAACAATTTTGAGATGAATATAATAAAATTCAAAATTTTACTAATATCATGATACTGTTTACTTGCTTGCTTTATTAAATGTGAATAAACTTAATAAATTGAATAAGTACAGCATTGTGGACAAATATACAAACATCCATAAACTCATACATAGACACATAGACACGTATTAGCACATAAAAAAATTTGTTGGCTTTCAATTTGCTAACAGCTGTCGAAGTGAATAATTTTGCATTTAATTGCTATGGAATTTTGTCAACCAAACTGCCTATGCAGAGCAAAGCTGAGCCAAGCTGAACCTAAGTTCATTTCGAGCAGCAACTGTGCGACGGGCAATCGAGTGAGATGCAGTTAGAAAAAGAGTTGAAGCTACATTCTTTCATACATATGTACGTACATTCTGTAAAACAATTGAACAAATTTACTTTTAAGAAAATTTGCATAACAGAAGATGTAGAACAGCTGACGTTTCATTAGGCTGGGAAGTTGTTAGAATATTTAAATGAAATTCCAAAAGACAAACAAACACAAAATGTGCTTCTTTCTTGGCAAATTAAGTGAATAGAGTAAAGGCGAGGAAGTCATTTGTTTTGTAAAACTCTTAAATTAAAAAAGGAAGAGATAAATTTTTTTATGATTTTTTATGTCTGCATTATTTAGAATGGCGCCTTGGCGGGGTCACCCCGACATATTGGAATTAAGTAGGTTCGGCTGAAAAGGGGCACCAGAATTAGATTAGAGGTGGCTGTCTTTATAAATATGCACCTTTATAAGACCCTCGCAGTAATGTCTTGCACAGATAAAAAATGCACCAAAGAAAAAACCGGCGAAGCCTCTAATATTGATTTTTTTTCAATAGCAGACTCCAATGGAAAACAGAACAAAAGCTCCTATACAAGCATTTCTTTGGATGGGACAGTCGGATACTTTAGTCTTCATAATAATGGGCATAAAAAATGAGCCTAGTCTCCGACTTGATTTTCAGTACAAAGTCTTGAGCTTGAGTTCACTTAATCAGTGCGAAAATTGAGTCTGAGTTTAAGCTCGCTTTTTATGCATGAGGGCCAATATCTCAGCATCACAGAACATCGGAATGACATATACCAAGCGCAATTATTGGTGCCATCTATTGCAGGAAATAAAAGAGAAATTGATCACTTTTTCAAAGATATTCCTGACGTGTATGAAAAAGCATCCGTGAAGTGTAGAACGCAGGCGTATTCAAAAGAAACATACTGACTTTAATCCAAAAGCATTTTAAAGTAGTTGAAATCAAACGAATAGTCGGATAATTGACTTTCTCCTAGGGCATGGATGCTTATGTGAAAAAAGGAAGGAATCCAAGAAGTCGGCAAGAGCGGAGTGTGTGTCGAGCAGCGTAACGAAAATTCAACATCGGGAAGCTGCAGTGACAAAGGACAACTGAGATGTTTCGAAGAATTGAAAAGCTGGTGGTAGAAGAATTTTAGATGAAGGTTTGATTAGAAAAAGGCAGCCATCGAATAGTTTCCAGAACGTTGCTGGTTTCTGGTAACAAATGGCCAGATTTTATGATCTGTGCGAAGAGTTGATAGACATCTACACAAGCTTTTAAGCAACATATTATCTGACGTAGGCAAGCTTGACGATTGGAATAGTTTTATGCAAGTACTCTGCTGAATCAATATGGTGGTAAATCGTACTGTTTGCGCCAATCATCGTGAAATGAGCCTTCCTAATATTGTTGAAAAAGGCTGAAACTCATCTTGAACCAACTTGTTAGTCTTGTTGTTGGCTCTGGAGTTGATAAATTTACTATTCATCTGACTTTTACAGCTTTTTAAATTATGAAAAATACTTTAGATAAGTAAATCGACATGGAGTTCCTGCGTAACTAATAAACAGTAATACCCGGCCTGAGTCTTCTCTAGCCAAATTGTCAGATGTCGCATTACCTGGTGTTGGTGTGGTGACCTGGCGCACATACCAAAATAAGTCCCTTATGTTTACCACTATGCCACTACTCGGCACCAAAAAACTAAAAAAAAAAACAAATATTATTTAGTCGTGACTTGCATTGCCAAACTAATTGGAGGTATGTAGTATTTAAGAGGCCTGGCAAATCCTCCGATTGAAATACCGAGGCATTTTCCACAAAACTGAATGAAGTTTGTACTGACCCAGCATCAGTGTTGAAGGCATTAGTAAAGACAATGTGTAAGGCTGGACTCAGGTTAATGTAGCCATCACTCATCCGCAAGGAACTCAACATTCTAGTAACTCTTAAGCAAAGGTAACGGTGGCGTACTATGCTGTGGCATTAAAAATACATTCAAGTATAAAGCTTTGCCCCATAAATTTTCGCCTTACCCCACACTGTATCAATTCAGATCCCATTTATTTTAAGTCTACTTGACCGACCCTCGGATAAAACCAATAAATGATAGTAGGCTTGGCCACGCATATTAGCCCCATTCTTACAAAAATGCCCAAGCCGGATCTCTCTTAAGCGCTGACAATGTACTACTTGTACAGCCGCCTCACAAGATTTACCAGCCATAGAGATGGATGATGATGTTTCTTGGCTTCGGTCAAAACTGATAGCCGGTTGTGGTGTCAAATGATCGATCATTTTCTTTTCTAGCTGGCCAAACAACTTATTTCTTTAAGAAGTTCAGTGCCTCAGCTATCAAAACGCCTCCATGAATTCCTAGTAAATCACTGCAATGAAGCGTAACTAAGTACTTACTTTTTTGTTATTTGCCAATTTAATTTTATTTGTGCTGGAGTTTTATAAGCTCAAATCCATCACATGCAATATTAAACCAAGCAGTCAACAGTCAACAGCAAACAACTTCATACATTAATTATAAATGATATATTGGTAATTGAAGTCATGCACAGTTTTTTATTAAACAGAATAAATCATTAGTGTTGGAATGTAACAACTTGTCAAGGCATATATTTTGCATATATTTTTTCTAATTTATTTACATGTTAAATTATAATAATCTTAGATTTACACTTCGTCTAGTGTTACCATATATATATATATATATATATATATGTGTGTATAAGTATGTATACACCAAGGTATGAAAATTAAACAGATATTTTTCCAATTTAGTTAATTTATTTTCCTAAGTCTTGTTAAATTAGCCGCCTAAGTGGCAATTAGCGAACGGCAGTCGTCAGGCTGTTACTAAAAAAGTAAAAAAAAAACGAAAAAGCAAAAATATATAAAAAAAAATCTATGTACAACAACTTTATCGGCTTGCTGTCGACGGCAAAAACACTTTTTTTATCACCTATGTATGTCTGTAGGCACGTTTGTATGTATGTACGTGTGGCATGTGTGCCAGTGGCTGCTAATCGCGCATTTTTACAAGACATTAAATCTGTTGCCAAGTAAATTATATCCGGATCCACATAAACGTTCGCGCGCACTCGCCACGCTTGTGACAACAACATGTTTGACGGGGCCGCTTGAGTGTACTCGTACGACATACATGCATACATACATACATACATATGTACGGGTATGTCTGTTATCAGGCGTCTACAAATTGAACGCACATTGGGCGCTCAACGCTCGCCACACGGCCACAGCGAACGGGGAGCGGGGCTGCAGCGGCATTAAGCTAATTTTATTGCAATTTTTTTTTTTTGGTCGTTGAGGATTTTGCAAATTTTGCACAGTCATCGTGCAGCCGCTAGTTTCCTGCTCAATGAATGCATTTCAAATTTTGTTTTTGTCGGCTTTTCGTAGGCATTTTTCTGCTTTTTAATTTGGTTTTTTTTTTTACATTTTACCAACGAATTTTGTATGCAATTTGCTTTTTTCCACTATTTTTTCTGTAATTTTTTATTTTTATTTTTTTTATTTTGAAATCAGCTCGAAACACGAGTCAACAACTGTAATTATTTTAATGTTTACGATTTGCATAAAAATGCAATTAACTACTTTTTATGAGCTGCTGCACTTCGGTGTTGCACTAATTGTTGTGCCAACTGCAGCCAAACGGCAATGGACACACAGCCGCCGCAGCGTCAGAACCAAAGAGAAAAAAGTTTTGGTTGCTCGTTTGGTTACGTGTCGGTAGCCAATGTGGAAATTGTGGTGGAAACTGTGTGCGGCTGTGGCAGCAGGCAGCAAAAAAACAAGAACAATTGCATTGACCAGCGCAGAGGTATTTAATTGTATGGGTAGGCTAAATGCAAAGTGAATGCGGAGAGAATGGCACCGACGGCGGCGGCGGCGGCGGCGGTGGGTATGCTGTTTGAAAATTTTCCAAACGTTAAGCGATCTCGGACATAAAACATTTGTATAACTATTTTCTGCACAATTGAATAAATTAAGATTGGCAGTCATTATGCGGGTAGCGTAATTTAAAATCGCATTGGAAAAATTGAATGCAATCAGCGTGTGAGCTATCTGTTTGTTTGTTTTTTTTTTGTTTTTTAGCTGGTGAAAGTATGTAGAAGAAGCCTCAAGCCAGTGCTGATCATCCGATTCGGTTGAGGAAGACTGTTTCCCTAGTTCATTTGAGTTTACAGCTGCAGCGCAGAGGGCTGTACGGGAGACCCTTCCTGGTTGCAGGTTCACCAAGGCGCAAGTGACCCGTACACGTGGCTACTAACGTATACTATCGGGCGATGAGACCATTGGCCATATGAGCGCCAGATTCAGAGTTCCGTATAACGATTTCTGTAGAAGCTTTCTCTGAAAGGAAGGGAACCCCCTTGTAGTGTCAACCAAAAGCATAAAAAGTCAGAAACTTTGATCCGGATTAACGGCGCAGTTGATCTGATGAAAATTGCGATCTGACAGATGGCAGTAATGCGGATTATCGAGCCGCAAGGTCGTGGGTTCGAGTTCCACTGCCAGTCGAGGTTTCATTTATGTATTTATTTTTTTAATTCATTCAATTTTAACTTTTATATTTTTTAGCAGTGTTTTAATAAAACTAAATTCTAAAAATTTAA